CAAGAGATGGCGAAGCTGCAGGGAATCATGCAAAAGCAGACAGAATCTTATATTACGATCTTGTATGATCATAGAAGGTCATACAATATGATCTTATAAGAATCTTACAGTATGATTTGCATAAGATTAGCAGAGACGACGATTTTTCGTAAGATTTTCCGTCTAATCTTATGAGATCAGACAAGATCAGATGTTAAGATCTTGTTTGAACCCACAAGAATCTTACAATATCTTGTCGTCTGATTGTTCGATCTGGGAAAGTATTTCACTTACCTTTAGACCAACAAGCGTGCGAACTGATGATGCACTTTTTGTGATTTACGACAAAAATACAGCATAGATTCAAGGTTTTCCTTGCTTGCTGATGAGGGACGCAGCCTCACGCAGAAGTGATTCAGCTTCTGTCGTTGAATGTCGTACTCTCGCAGTTTTGTCTGTAAATTTCAATGATAGATTGAATCGAACAGTTTTGTATCGATTCTATCACCGCGAGAAACAATCTGTGATTTGAATGCATTCCAACACGTTCGATCAGTGGAGTAAGTGACTGTCACGTTTTGATAAAACAAGGAGTCTTTCCCTTCACTTTTCGATTCCTCAGTCGAAGTGCCGGTGCCCCATTGCTATCAATAAATTCTGTTGTTGGCAAGGTGCTCATCGCATTAGTCGTCTTATTGATCATAGTGGCCTTTGTACTTCCCATTGCCATTATTCCTGGCAGAGCAAGAACAACAGGTAAGAATGCGAACACGACAAGTGATAGCATTGTTAACTAGAACTGCCACAATCTTGTCGGTTAAGATATAATTTAGTCCTTAGACTCTCTTCTATTTCATAGTCTCATCCGAGGGTGTAGAACTTCAACAGAATCCTGTCAACCCTGACACCCACACCCTGAAGAACATCATCTTTTAGCCAGTAGTATCATTCTATGATACAATCTTCAAATATTGTCTTCTTTCTTCTAGCAACGAGCGCGAGTACAACAACAGCCACTTTCTGTCCTGTGGCAACATGTAAGTACGAGAATGAATAGCGATACGCACCTCGAAGCAGCAGCGCCCTCTTTTTCACGACTCGTTGCACATTGTAGGCGGAACAATGAGCTACATACTAGTTTAAAAACCCCGAGTCTATCTGCAAAGATGAACTTATGAAATTTCTCTCTATTGACCGATATAAAGCATCGAAGCGAGGAACTCGACAGGTTTGGGAGAAGGTGTATCAATATGTATTCATCCTAGAACAAGAATGTCGATCATCGTTGTCGCTTAGATGCACTCAGTTTTTGATGCAACATCTGGAGATGAAACAATCTGAGAAAAGTTTCGACACGTAGAGTGCTCTCTTTCTCGCTCATGTTTAGGCACGCTCACAATCAATGCCGTATGGAACACAACAGGGACGACAGTGCAACCGGCATTCTCTCTTGTAACACCTAGAAGTACTTCGTTCGATTCAAGTGGCAACATGTATGTAGCGGATCTGCCTCTGTGCGCCGTATTTAAATACCCGTCCTGTGGTACTGGTTACCCTACCGTGTTTGCTGGTGTCAGCAACAACTGTAGTGGTAGTCTGTTAAATCTTAACCAACCCGAAGGCGCATTCATCGACAGTCTGGACAATCTGTATGTTGTAAGTCTAACAAAGATGAAGTGACATACCGAGTAGATAGAAAGAGAAAGATGTGATTGTGTCCGTACTCTAAAGCGTTGATGTCGAGCGAAGTCAGCGTCTTCGAATCTAACCGATAGAGCGGACGAAAAAACAGCTTGGCAGAAGCGTAAATTCAGAGAGAAGGAAATCCTAAGAAATGTGAATGTCGCCACAATCATTTTTTTCCAGAAAACTCTTAACAATCTTATAAGAGCTACCTTAGAATTTATTAGGGTAGTCGCAGATACCACTATCCGTTTTTGGCAAGCACTATGATACTAGATAAACTACATAGGCTATTGAAACGTCTATAGCCTGAGGGACGTCTCCGTTTAATTCGTGATGGCATCATGAAAAACTACCTTTTGTATCATATCCTTTAGGATTTCTAATATCATAATGAAAAGGCTTTTCTTCACTATTTATCTTTTCTTTTCTTGATTAAGACGAAAGCTTCATACAAATGTTTTAGCTAACCCCAGAGTATGACGAGGGGCCCCAAAACATTTTTTCTCGAGCAGTATTCTGGAGGCAGCTTGTACATATTTGCAGCGACTAAATCGATATACTCAAATCTCACACTCTTGTTGCAAGTTGTAGTAGACGATGCTCATGTGCGACTCATACCTGTCTCCAGTCACGTAAGTGCGAAAGACTTGATAGCTGATTGTTTCGTATTTTCTCTAAAATCACAATAGTTGGCTTCCAGATAAAAAGCTAGGGTTCGTAATCATCGCCGTAAGAACACATAAATCAGCGTTGGCGGTTACCGTGATGAATGTTTCATTAGTTCTACGCTACTATCAAATTCAAATCGAACTCCTGCGAGTTTTCGGGTAATCAAGCGTCCTGACGGAGAACAAGAATAATAATAAAAAGCTTGAATTAATTCGGATGGTAACACGACTTAGAAATTCAATAAAGCTATGCAGCCTTGAAAATAGAGAAAGTGAGAAAAGACTAGGATTCAAAGTAGAACTCAGATGTGCGCACCTGAAAACTGTTTATTTAGTCGCTGGGCAATCATCATAGCAGTTGAAAAGTTGTCTGTTTGGTTCCAGCCAACGCTGAACCTGAACCCTAGAAAAGTTAAGCCTCTGCTGGGTTTAGTTAAATGAGACTTCAAATTACGGAGATAATAAAGGCTAGCATCGATCAATGAAGAGTCCCTGTCTTTTTTCTCTTTTAGCCATCCTACATCTATGTGGTAAATGGTCCAGCGGGTCCAGTTATGTACATAGCTGATCAGCAATATCAACTCATTAGACGCTGTGTCGAGAATACAGGCAGTTGCACGGTTGTTGCACAAAGTATGTCAGGAAACATGCGCGCTCTTTGCGTTCGCTCTTAGTGGGTGTTATCATCTTGCGTGAAATAGGACAGCAGAGAGATACATAGTTGAAATCTTAATCGCATGAGATGGTCTAATCAGCTGAATCAATTTTATTATTTTTAGTATCAAACCATAAAAAACGGAAAATGAGTTTTAGCATTTAACATAAGCAAAATACCCTTTTACCGAATGAGTCTTTGCAAGATCATACACAAACAGTTGTATATCGCTTACCTCTGTCAGTATATGATCTTGGGAAAAAAATACGATTAGCCATACTAAAACTGTTCGTAACTTTCTTTCTCTGCTCTACTTTGAGTGGAAGCAGAGTAGGCAAGAATTCCAATATTTATAAGTTGCTGTTGAAACTCCACCAATTCTAATGAAGAACGTCAATTCAGTGTAAAAATCAGTTTATCTGTTTGAGGTACCTTAAAGTTACAAAATACTTATCACTTTTATATTTTCTGTTTCTAGACGGTGTCGGTGCTCCGACGGATGTTTTCCTCGACCCTTCACTTAATATCTACGTGGCAGAGTATCCAAATTATCGTGTGACAAAATGGACTCCAGGCAACACGACGGCCGGTGCTCTTGTGGCCGGTGGAAATGGGGTTATCAGTGAACCTCATCTCTTGCCAGACGTCGGGCATCTGCGTCGGCTTGCTTGGAGAGATCTACGTGCCCGATTTATGTAAGCTGTCCTATATCTCACTAAAGGCTAGGGAAAAATTTACGAGATGCAGAGGTAGAAAATAACAGTTGAATATTTCTTATAACACTTGAATATTTTGCGATTCCAATACGATCATGATTGTATCATCGCACAAACTTCATCGGATTAAAGTTAAACAAAATCGTCATGTTAATCAGATCGAACTGGTTGTTTACCCCATTTCAATCGTTTTCTTATTGATTTCAATGAGATGAAATGAAAACTTAAAAAGCATGTTCTTTGGGATCAGAAGGCCGAGATGAAGAGCTCTGACAGATGCCTTTCGAAAAGGGCACTCATTTTTGTCCAACAGGAAGAATGACTTGCTTTTCATATAACGGGTGGCCCAGAAATAATTGCCCTGTTAGTAATTTAAACCTTTCTCCTCTTCCTTAGACTCGATCGAACTGATTCTAGTACCAAAAGATTCCCCGTTCAATTTCCTACAAAATGGTGTATAAACGGCAAGCTTTCGCTTTGAGACGTTGTTTCAGCTGAACAAAATGTGAGGTACCTCCAAAACGCGAAAAATGTAAACGTTTTCTACTAAGCTTTTTTTATTTGAAATCTATCCTAAAAGAGGGATATAAGCCGAATCCTAAGTCGCTTTTCTACACATTCAGATGTTCTCTATCTGACAGCACAGAATTCATTTCTCCTTCCTGTGTCAACCGGGTAAAAATGGCTAATTAACTATTTTCCGTAATCAAATAAGCGAAATGTCAATGTGATGATCTAGTTTTTTTTGAAACAAAATTACTTCAAGCGGTTTGGATGTGAATTTAATAGGAAAAAATGTTCTTTTCCAAATGACACACGAGCGAGCATAATTGGTTTACTTTTGTCCAAAATATAATCGATCTGCGAATAGCCCTAACACATAAGTCGAAAAGGCAATGATGGGGCTTTTACGGAAACCATGACTGCAAGCGCAAAGTAAAGGGAAGAAATTCGTCTTAGCTGCCAATCAATAGAGATTTTCAAGGGCTATACGGCTTGTTCACGCGTTACACTGTAACGTTTTTGACGCATTAAAATCCGCTTTTCTCAAAAACGAAATGAGTTAGAGAATTCGTTCTTGCGCCATTCGACGCAGCTTGAGCTCCTCTATTTCCCATATAAAATTCGAAAATTTTGATTTAATTTTGGAGGAGCTAGGTGCAATTTACCAGGCCGTTACACTGTAACGAAAAAGGCCCTTTTTTTCCGAGTGCCTGTCATAAAGTGCGAAATTCCTGCGAAGTTTCTCAGTGAAGCATAAATTCACTTGAGGCATTTTTGTAGAAGACGAAATTTGCTATCGAATGGTGAAATGATCAAGGCACTATTTGTTTTCCATAATTAAAAACCTGAATTATACTACCGTTACACTGTAACGTTTTTCGTTACACTGTAAGGCAATTTTAAGGTTGTAACTGCGGTACTCTTAAAAACCCATTTACATCGCCGTAAAACGTCCTAGAGACGCCAAATTTTTACCAAAGCATGTTCTCGAACATATCTCTAGACCTTTCTGGAATTTTTCGGTTTCGACTAGTTTTGGAGGAGTTATACAAAAAAA